TTTTGGCTCTCCAGCTTTGATATTATTCTATAGTAATTGGCCAACAGGAACTGACGGCCAGTTGCACAGTCCCCCAGAACTCTCCGCAGCCTCTGCACTCTGTCTGACTACCAGATTAAAAGGGCAGTAGATTTTGATGCTTTGAGTCGGAGCCTCTGTTATCTTGAACTTCAGGAGTCCTTTACCAGATTCCAGCTAAAATAAAGTTTACATTACTGTCAGCTGACAAGTTCAGCTTGCAATCTTTGACCCTTTTTTCTAAAGAGGAATGCATCCAGTGAGGCAGAGAGACTGCGCATTGAGCATAAACCAAATGATATCTTCCAGTATGTGCAAGAGGTTTTTCAAGAAGACAGAACCAATCTCTTCAGTGGTACATGACAGGAGAATGAGAAACAACAGTCAAAACCTAAAACAAGAGGAAAAGCTTTTCCATCATGAGGGCAGTGAAGCACTGGAATATGTTGCACAGAGAGGTTATGTGGTCTCCATCCTCGGAGATTTTCAAGACCAGACTGGACAAAATCTGTGCAATCTGGTCTGACCTTTGAGCTTACTCTGCTTTGAGCAGGAGTTTGGACTACGGACCTTCTGAGTTCTCTTCCAACCGTACAATCCTATGATTGTGTGATATTCTTCCATTGATTACAATCCCTCTGGGAGGCTGCTGTCCATCAAGTGAAAGAATACAACTTACTCTGACTCCAACTTTCTGTGGGAGTTAGCTGCTCTCCTCCCCTTCACGACAGTATTGTCTGTAGACCAGCAGCATGTTTCAAACTTCTCATACAAGCAGACATGAGCACAGGTCCCATCTCAAAGATCTTGAATACCAGTGATTGCTGTCTCAGCTAAAGCAACACTTGAAGCGAGATCTGTGTTGACAGCATCTTAATTTAGAAATTATGCTGTCAGGTCAACAGACTTTCCAGCCAAAGTAACAATGACATAGCTGTTTTCATGAAAGCAAGTGTTCATTTTGATGTAAGTATAGTTTCTACCTTTTCCACACATGGGTATGCATTCATATTATTTTATTTAGACTCTTAGTGCAGAAGATGGTCATCGTATGGAGTTCTTTGGAAAATTCTGACAGCATCCAATTTGTGATCGTATGATAGGAAGTACTTCCTTCAAAAAATAGCATTGCTTTTTCATTTCACCTCCAGATTTTTTAATGTAATTTCTCAAATTGGAAAGGATGCTCTTAACAATGCCACAATGCCAGCTAGGTTCCTCCCTCGGCTTACTAAATACTTCCAAAGCTCTTGTCTTGTAATTCAGTCACTGCTGCTGTGCATAAATCAATGACTCGGTGAGTTTGTCTGCAGGAACTGTAAAAGCCAAATGAGTGTTTGCAAGGAGCTGTCTAGAATTAGGATGTTAGTTCTTCCAAGTACTAATGACAGCATATTTAGAAAATAAAATAACTGAAAGTTGATTATAGTAAACACCTCTGCTAATGGCCATCTCTGGCTGAAAACATCTGTAGTTAACATGAAAAACTGGCTCATGTTAGATGATCAATAAACTGTGAAGTCAACACGCTTAGTTGATTTCGTTTTTCATTCCTGTTAACAACTGAATTATTTTTTTTTTTACTTAATTCAACAGTCTGTGTTGGCCAAATACTCTGGAGTAACGTCAAAGCTTAAGAGCTAAACCAGCTAATCTGTTTAACAGCACTTGGTAGCGTTAAGAGTGAATTTCAACTCACTGTAGAAGTCTAGAATAAAAAAGACTTTTTTTATGTTGCTCGAAGCTCCACTTCGCTGAAGGAGAATTAGCACACAAACCTTATCTTGACTTCTATAGGAAAGGATTTCACACTCATTTCAACTCATAGCTATTGAGTTAGCTAATAGCTATGCCCCTGAGGCAATGACAGATCTAACAAAAACCACAGATTCTTAAAAAGTAGTTATTCCTGTACCTGGCTTCTCATTGTCTGCCCTTCCTTAGTAGACTGCTTCACAGCATACATCTCCTTGCTCATGTGTCTGGTGCAGACAGTTTTTTGAGCTGTAAGACTCCCTGGACTGGAATTGTTTCTCAGTGGTTACAAAGTTTGCAAGAATGTATTAACAGACAGTGGTTTTAATATGTATTATTCATTTAACCATTATTTCCCACTTGTCTGGTAGGAACTGGATGTCTTCATTCACCGACATATGTCAGTTGAGCTGATTTTGTTCATAAATGTCAAATATTTGACCCTTGCTTCTTTTTATCATCCTAGTAAATGAGTCATGTGAAATAACATTTCTCAGTGCATACATAACCATTCTTTCATCACCATGTCTAACTCAGGCTTTGCAGAACTAGGCACCTGTGCTTCCTTCCTCACAGAAACAAAGGAGTCTGAGGTATGCACTTACAAGTGCAGACAGCTTCCATGGAATACCTATCCTGCTGTCTGTCTTCCTCTCTTTCAGCAAATACCAGATAAAAAAAGCAAAGATGTCTTAGCAGCTTTTGACGAAGCTGTTGAACAGGCACAAGTTGCAGCCCAGTATATTGAGGAAAAATTCTATAGAATGAGTGTTGGTTTGTCGTAACAATTTTGTAAATGGTGGTGGTTTTCTGTAGTGGGACCAGTAACATCCAAGATGATGCTGGATAAGCTAAGGATAAGAATCACAGTGGTTGTCTCAAGAGAAGTCAGCATCAAGTATTAGGCTTCTCAGAATGGAGACCAGAAAAGCTTTGTGCTGACGGTGGGGAAACACCCCCACCAATTGTGTCTTTGAGCATCGTGTCTTTGATCTCAAATCCCTTTGGTAAACGGCTGTGTTAGGGCTTGGGGAAACAACTGCACTGAGTCCATCTGAGGATCTTCTTCTCTCAAAAAACTATGAAAAGCTCCATTTGCTTTTAAAATTCAACTGCTACAGGTTGTGGTTTTCACGGAAGATGGGTCACAAAGTGGACCCAAATCTAGGAGAAAGCACTGGACAGTTTGAATCCCACCTTAGCCAAAACTTCATGTAAACCATTGTGTTACAACCAGCCTTATGGGGGCTTACTCTCTCTGGACCAGTTAGAATTGAATTTTTTGTGTGCAGGGGAAATGAGTCAATAGGAGAAAGAGAACTTCTGTCCCTGTATCTTATTCCCTGCAGTGGTTAGGGGACAGCCCAGATTATTTTTTTTTAAATGGATTAAAAGTATAACTCTCTATTTGGTGAGGCCCTGGGCCCTGACATTGTATATTATCCACTAGCTATTGCCAAAAAGGTCCTTAATTAAACTTAAATGAAACAATGCTATGGTTAGGCCAGAGATTAAAAACTTCTTCTGGGCTGAGAGAAAAAGTTGCTGAGGAAGGTTACAGGTCATTTAGGGAAAGACCTCCACAATTTTGGAGTTTGGTGATTCAGTTCATCCTCCTTAGCAATAGCAAAATACCCTTTTTGTATCCACCTGGTCAACAGCAGCTGTTTACTGCTGCCCCACTCTGCATGGTGGATTTGCGTTACCATTCCCAGACAAAATCCTCTAGGTTAACCTTACTGATGATCTAAACTAACGTGGCTAATTTTGCCAGAGGTGGATTATAGGCCGTCATAATGAATCCTCTATTGGCAAAAGGAGCAGTGGAGCAGCCAGCAGCGATAAAACACTTAGAGACAGCAACGTCTCCTGTGAGCAATAGATTTGGGGGAAGACATGTCTCCCATGGGTTTACTCCAATTGCGTTCATAAAGATGTGAAAATAACTGAGCAACAACTGTGGGTGTAATAACTGAGCAATAACTGAGGGTGTAAAAGCATTTCCCACTATCTGGATTATTTTATAAGACCAACAGTTCAGTAAAATAATGACTTAATCATAGTAACTTGCCTAAAGGGTTTTAATGTGAAGAGTATAAATATATGTGAATAAATGAGGTCTTACAGAAAAGAAAATAATCTTCCACGACATTGAAAACCACCAGATCATGGGACAGTCTTCTAAGACATGGTGGAGGCCTCAGCTAAAATGGCAGATCAAGTTACACAACCTATTTGCTGTGCAAGAGCTTAGTAATGCTCCAGTGGCAGAGTGTCGGATGAAGGGACCTGATTTTCTGAGTCTTCTCCATTTGATCTTGGTTGTCCCACTGTAAACTTTTGTGCAGTCTGTCATAAGAGTAAGCTGCACACCCAAATCAGAAATAGACTCTACAAAGACAGTAATAATTCGGTATCTTTTCAAACTAAGGACATGATGAATTTATGTTTGCTTCTAATTATCTTCATGTTAAAAACACCTTGATATGGAAAAGGCATAGCAGGGGTAGATTTTGGATAAAAGAATAAAAGTAGGTCTCCATCTTGAAAGACATGTTTTGTGCGATGATTATATGTCTGACAAGATGTATTGCCTTGTTTTTACTCCAGTAACTAGAAAGCTTCTTGCTTAATTTTATTTGTTAACAGCTGCACGACTCAGCATGTGAAGAGGAGAACGTCATGGATGAGTATTCTGGGCTGGCTGCCCAAAACTTGTTATGATCATTATACATCCCTCACACAGTATGTGACAGTTTTCCCATCTTCATATGTGATTCTTTGTGTAAAAGGAGAGTATACTTTTGCAACTCCAAGGTAAATAATAAAAAGTCAACTACAAAATTAGAAACTGATAGAAACATGAAATGACTCCTGGTTTTCTAATGCACCATGAGCACTGCTATAATAACCAAGCTAGCAAAATTCAAAGCTCTGAAAATAAATTCAGTGGTTAGCAATTCTCAAAATATGAAACTGGGAGAAAACATGAAGCTTTTTCACTCTCACTTCAGAAGTTATCTAAAGCCTGAGCTCTCTCAATGGAGTACATTACCTTGTTAACATTGCTAAATGCATCCCACTTGGGTGTATTATTTGCAAAGAACAAGATTTTTTTTGATCCTGTGTTCTTTGTAATAATCCTCTTAGTGTTGTTAAATGCTCCATTTTTAAGGCTTCTGCAAACTGTCATACGTAGTCTTTGTGGATAATTAGGTTGTTGCTATTTAAGCTACTTCCTTCAGTGTTTCTGCTGCTGCCTGTACAGTGAAGGCTGCAATGGAAATCTGCCTTTTAACTTCTTCCCAGGCTTCATGTTGATCAGCTTTGTTTTTAATGTCAAACATGGCATCATAGATCCCTGGGAATGATTCTCCTGCATACTTGTTGTGGCTGCTTGGAGCAAAGATAACATGTCTGTAGGGAAGTTGAGAGAAAAAAAAATAACAATATTCTGCATTAGGAAAATAAAACATTATTTTCTGAATAAAAATAATCTGTTTCTATATCATGTGTTAAATTCTTGACACTGAAGATGTAAATAAGTAAGATTATTGCAGCAATAGTACCTATAATCTCTGAAGCACGAAAATTACATGAGCTACATTATTCCATGAGAATTCCAGAACTTTGTAGCTAGGAAGACTTGAGATAAAGTTGACTAAAGTATTTTCCTTTCCCTCATTTTAGATGAAACTGAAAGATAAAAAACCAGCTTCTTTTCTCACAGATATACACAACTTCTAACAGATACAGGCATGCTTTGAGGCAGGAAAGCTGATGCTTTAACAAGAGACTGTTCTCAACAGAATTGCAATCAGAAGCTATGAGAGGTACAATGACTGTAGATCTTACGTTCTCCTGCTACAGCTACTTTTTAGTGGAATGCTCACTGTTCTGAATTATGCAGACTGGTAGAAGGACCAAAAAGATAGACTTGACTTGATTATTCTGCCTCTCAAACATGACTTACTTCTTGAACTGGATGAGGGAACTACTGAATCCATTTCCCTGCTGTTGAAATACTGCCCTCTACACTATATTTGCTACCATGACGGTTCTGCTATACTCCACCAAATTGCAGATACTTCAATTATATCCTATTTCACTTTCAAATCATAGTAACTTCCTAAAGATCCTTTACCACCGAAATTACTTGAACTGAGTCCAAGGCCAAACTTTTAGATGTGATTAGAAGCTGACAATCAATGGAAATGGGTTTACTGATCTGAATAGGCTTCCAACAAGACACTTTCTCATTCTGTATAGTGTTTCTCACTGAAGTTTTCCCTACTCGTTTTCCCTTTTCAATCTTATTTGTCCTGTTTAATCTACTTTTACCATGTTTAATAAAATCAATTACAATTCCATTTAGAGACCTGTAAATCTTAAAGGAATTCTCATAGGATACTCTAGGCAGAAAGTGCAAAATAAACCTTTCTTACCTATAGAATGGCCTGCCAGGTAATCCAAGAGGATCGATGAAAGCCCTTTCTAGAAACATGAGCTGATCATTTAGTGATCTGACAGCAAGTACACTAAAAAGAAAACAGAGGAATATGTTAGCTACAGAGTGTTTGGCCCACTCTTATCCCATGCCTCAATGTACACAGCTCTGGATTTATGAAGGAGAGCAGATCCAAGATGTTGAACTTAAAGTGTAGCCCACAAGACAGCCCACATCAGCTAACCTGCACAACAGAATTATGCTGATCTGTACTGTGAGACAGTCTGGTTAACAGGACTTATCTTAAGACTTTAAGATATTTTCTTTCATGTTGCATTTATTCCTTTATCTCCTTTTCATTAGGATGCTTATGCAGACCATTTTCTCCTTTCGTATGAGTTTTCTAAAGACCCTATTTTCCACAAAGCCGGCCAGCTGCAAATTACTTCAATAAAATCACATTTATTTTTATGTAAAACCACAACATCTGAGAAACAGGAACCTTGTGATGTTAGAATCATCCTTTGAATCATCCAAGAATTGTGATTTTCTGACAGAAGATTGTAAATTCCCTAGAGCAGAGACCATCTGTGTCTGTCTGCTTTGAACAGCTCTGAGCGTAGTACTGATGCTTAACAAATAAAAGAACTGTGAAGAAAATTACACTGAATATATGTGGGTTTGGTAGTTCACATCCAAAGTAACTTACTGTAGAGCTTCAAAGGCATTCAGCAATAAAAATGGTAAAATTTGTATCACAGTAAGCCTGGAGTAACTCTAGCACCATTGATGAAACGGTTTCAAGTTTACATTGGTGTAAACAGAAACAGAAACTGGTTGGTTGAATTAATGCTTAGATTTAGGCCATCCATCAATGAAACCATTTTGAAAACGTCAAATACATGTCATATGCCATAAATGTCATATTTTACATAAGAAATTATTGTTAACTCATTTATCTTCAAAGTTGCTGCCATTAAAAAGATGGCTTTTATTCTCACTGAAGTCTTCCATAAGGGTAAGCATATGGCTAAATGAGATTCTTCCCAAGAAACGTAACGTACGCATATGTATATATAAAAGGAAGCTTGGTTTCTCATTCTGGGCATGGCCTACAAAGAATAAATTAAGAATTAAGTCAAGTGCAAATTAGGCCTTTTGGCATAGGTGGTGCATAGAATTTTTTGAAATCTCATCAAAAACTGGCCACAACTACAATCACAGTACAGCTATTTGTTTTTTTCACTGAGTGGTACCAGTATCTTGAAAATAGAGTGCTGTCAAATGAAGAGCACAAGTGAATGTTTGTTCTTTGATGATAATCTAGTAACAGAATCTCAGGATGTGTCTCTATTCAGAGGGAGTTACACACCTGAGCTGGCTCTGCTCATGCTAAGCAGCATTCTAGTCACATCTACGTATCACCCTGGCACTGCTCCTCAATTAAAACTCATCAAGAATTGACATTAATTAGCTTGGACACTTCTCGAAGCTAGCATGGCTAGACTCCCAGGCTCTGCAGTGTCTCTGATGTCCACTAATTCAAAATTTCTATACTTGGTTTCCTAGAGTAACCAGATCTTTAAAGACAACAGTCCATAAGGACTTAAAATGTCAGTCATTTGTCACCAAGGTTATTCAGGGGACTAAATGCAAGTGAAGTCTATGGCCTCTGAGCCCAGAGTATTCGTCTGAAAGAAAAAAAGTGTTAAACTTACTTATTGATATCAATTTGTTGTAGTCTTTCATGAAAGTTAGCAGCAACTTCTGTAAAATTCTTCACAGCTGAAAAAAGAGCATCTGGAGAGAGCAGGAAGCAGGTATTTAACTTCAAATTCTGAATGAATCGTTTAATAAACCAAATTCAAATTAAAGCTTTATCTTTCACTGTGATCATGATCTGTCAGTTCTCATTGAATGAAAATCAGATGACGCCATATTCCTACATTAAAAACTATGTAATTCTGTGTGAAAACTTGCCTTGGAGACAACAGAAATCAGTATTTCTCTGAATATCATTTGTTATTTGCTACTTGAGGAATGTACAGAAATACCAAAAACTAAAGCATGGATTTCCAGATCCAGACTGTTCAGGTACATCTGGGATTTGATAAGTCCCAACAACTTGTGTTTTACTGGTATGTCCCTCCACACATAGAATCATAGAGTGTTTGGGCTGGAAGCGACCTCAAAGATCATCTAGTTCCAGCCCCCCTGCCATGGGCAGGGACACCCTCCACTGCACCAGGTTGCTCAAAGCCTCATCCAACCTGGCCTTGAACACTTCTGTCGTGGGTTATGTTGAACCGCCCCACACACAGCCGGTCACTCCCCCTCCCCCACCTCCAGGAATGAGGGAGAGAATTAAAGGATAAACGTGAAACCCGTGGGTTGAGATAAGAGTGATTTAATACAGATGATTTAATACAATGTAGGTGCTCACCACCCCTCGTATGCGAAGCCCGTCTCGTCCCGAAAACTGCAAATCCCGGACGAACGCGAGGCCCCGAAATAGAGAGGGGCAGAGAGGGAGAGAAAGAGAGAGAGAGAGAAAGAAAAAAAAACAGCAGAGCAACAGCACAGCAAGCGCAAAAGAGCAAAAGTGCAAAAAGAGCAAAAGCGCAAAAGCCCTTCTTCCCGGCTGACCCTCGCTTTTATACTGGGCATGACGCTGCATGATATGGAATACTAATTGGCCAGTTTGGCCCTCAGCCTTAAGTTCCACACAAATGACAAGGGGAATCGTGTCCCCCTTGTCCCAGCTATGCTCCCCCCTTATCCTGCCGTGTTTCTGTACTCCGCACACTGAAAAGTCCTTGGAGTTTCACTTCCAACCACAAACATCAGCTTGCTATCAACATTCTTCTCAGAGTGAGCCTCTGAGTGAAACCAAAACAGGGAGCTCTTCTGGCTGTTAAAAAAAACTCTGTCCCAGCTAAAACTGGGACAACTTCCAGGGATGGGGCATCCACAACATCTTTGGGCAACCTGTTCCAGTGCCTCACCACCCTCTGAGTGAAAAATTTCTTCCTTATATCGAATCTAAATCTCCCCTCTTTCAGTTTAAAGCCATTGCCCCTTCTCCTATCACTACGTGCCCTTGTAAAAAGTCCCTCTCCAGCTTTCCTGTAGGCCCCCTTTAGGTACTGGAAGGCTGCTATAAGATCACCCCGGAGCCTTCTCTCCTCCAGGCTGAACACATACAGAGTTTTGAGAAAGGCTGAGAGTATATGTGTGTGTGTTTGTGTGTGCACACGCACGCATACACATACCCCATATTGGTCATTAGCAGCAAAGTCCTAAACTGAATACTATGTAACGTTGTCAATAAAATAAAGGCTTCTCAGGCAGGAGGCATATTGTTAATCCCTATAACATGAAATAAAGTTTCACATGCCAGCATAAGATCCCTATTGTGGCATTGGGATGAACCGTTCCTGCTTGACCAAGCCCCGAGGCAAGCTTCTTATGGTGCTTCCACTTGCCATCATGTGCCCATAAACTGAAACAAGAGAAATTCTGGCTGCATATAAGGAGAATCTTTTTACCTTGAGGGTAGTCAAGCACTGTGGTCCAGAGAGGTTCTGTAGTCTCTGTCCTTGGAGGTTTTCAAGACCAGATGGGATAACGCTCTGAGCAACCTGGTCTGACCTCAGAGCTGACCCTGCCTTGGGCAGGTTGACCTAAAGACCTCTTTAGGTTCCTTCTAACCTGAATTATCCTATGATCAGTGTTGGACAGAGAATTAATCCAACATCATTACGGTGCAAAGCAGTGTGATTTTTTTTTTAGGGACCAAGACAAAGATACCTTGTTGCCATCATCAGTGAACCATTCATGAGTAAAAGAACATGCAACTGTAAGTGTTGGCTCCACTTGAAAGTGGCATAGTCTCTACGCAGGCATACTAGTGACCAAATATTCAAATTTCAAATTATTGGAGGGTGTGGCTCTTCTTTTATTTACTGTTCATACAGCACAAGGTAAATACCAGGCCATGACTAAGACATACATTAAGATAAGGCACTGCTGGCATTAAGGGAGGAGGAGTGCAATGAAAGACTGTACATACCAAAGGACACATTGTATGTTGCCAGGTCCTCTTCATGACTCCTTGACAAGTTATAGATGACGTGAGCATAGTTGCTCACAGCTGATGCATAATCTCTGCAGTCGAAAGGAAGCACGACGGAGTTGGCCAATTCAAACACCAGCCCTCCCCGTACCTGAGCTACTGTCAGATGATTCTTGAAAGTGGGATCATAAAACCTCTCCACAATTTCATAGGTTTCATAGACACTGTGGTAAACTGGATAGCTGCTATATTTTTCTACATTCTGAAACAAACCAACGCAAACAAAACCATTATTCAGTCGTGGATACTTCCACTTCACTTGAAAACCTTTGCTGTGGTATTCAAGGCTCTGTAAAGTTAAGTGTCCAGGTCACACTAATCCTACGTAGCCACTACAGATAGTTGAATGAGAAGACCTGCTCAGTGGTGGCTCTCTTAGACATCAACTTATGATGTGATGAACTGTCATTTGGAGATATCTCTCTCCACTGACCATGTACAGAGCCTAAAGAAGGTAGCTAAGAACAGACGCATAATTTTTATTTGACTAAATTAAGGAAAGATTGCCCTTCCTCTGTTTGCTGGGATCTCAACAGTCATTTCTGTCTGTGCCTTTGGATATGTCTTTTCAGAGGAAAAGACCACACTGAACAGACTGCTTCTCGAACATTTCTCAATTAGTCTCATTTCACAGTATGCTCCAGAGTCAAAACCCATATTTTCCATAGAACATGAACCATTTTGAAGGCAAAGCTTCCTAAGTTATTACAAATCATTTGAAAGTCGTCATAAGCCACTCATAAGCCTTCATCAACCATAGGTAATTTTAAGCACATCCATTTACCCCGAGTTATTTTGTCTAACTGACATTAAGTTGACTATTCCTATTTATTAAATATTTGTGTTGTAGTAGCATACAGAGTTCTAGCAATGAACTGGGACTCCACTCTATCACACTAAGCTGAACTACTCCAAAAAGCTGGCAGTCTAAGTCTACAGGTGTCATTATTCAAGCAGTTACAGAAGAGACAAAATTACAGAGACATAGACTTACCCAATTTTTACTGTAACGTGCTCTGCCTGAAGCGATGCCAAGACGTTGAAAAAAGACTTCAAAGTCATTGCCAGAACCCAGTTTATTTATTCTTTCAACAAGAAAGAGGAAAATGCCTTGAGTGACAATAATTGCAGTATAATTTTAGTTTGCTTCCAAGTACTGTGGCAATTACTTATTCTGCAGCTGCCATCACGAACAGTCTTTCCCTGGTATGCTCCTTCTGTCAATATTCCATGAATCGCCTGTGACCCCTACGTTACAGGCACTTCATCAGTTGCATTCTTGGAGAAGCAGAGTCATCATTCTCAGGGTCAGAGAAATCAAACTCTCAAGAGGAGAATTTAACTCACTGTTTTTAATCACTGAGAAGACCCAATGACCTTCCTCCTGCTGAACTTCCACAATCCCGAGCTCTCAACTCAGAGAAATCACAACACTACCAGCATGGCTCCATGGAATAGAATCAGTCCTTGAGATTCTATTGAGGAACCCTGGTAAATTTGAACGACGGTGTTGTAAAATCCTGCCTGGTGTACTCCCCAGCCACCCACACACCGAGGCCTTCCAGGAGACTGGAAGCAAGTGCGAGGGAAAGCTGCTGTGTTAGCATCTCGTGTGCCTGCTGCTGGCTTGTGCACGCTACCTTTATTTGTCGAAATCCCTGTGAACTACACAAACACTTTACTTTCCATATATGAAGGTTTTTGTTCATGCTACAAAGGCAAGTTCACAAAACTGTTGTACACTGGTGTATCAGCTGCAATCCATAAAACTCAGAAATTTACACCAGCTGAGAAGTACACCATTTCTTTTAGGCACTCAGTTTTTCCAGCGGATATTGCTTTAAAACCCACACTCTACAAGTTATGATAACTTTTGCCATATCGTTTATTTTCTTTTGTTACTGACCTGGGGACCTCTTTATATTCTCTTGATGGATTTTTTTCATACCAGCTTTCATAAAGAGATTTTCCTTCAAATCCCTCATCAGGACTTGGTATCTAGAAAAAGGCATATTTTAAAAAACGACAAAGGCTACAATTTTAAATGTTACCAAGCAACAAATTTACAGTCTGTCACCACGTCAAGCCTATGGCTTAGGGCAATGAATAAGTCACAGTCTTAAGTCCCTCAACGTTTCTGCATTTCCGTTTTAACATTTCAAATGCACAGCACTTTCCAGAGGAATAGTTTATTTGCTAAAAAAAGGTAATTTTAGATGGAAAAAAAACCACAAGGAAAGTAAAATATTTCAAGTCAATATTTACATTCTGACATTTCTCTATGAGATTTTCAGCCATTTAATTTAAATATTCAAAACAAAAATCCCTCAAAGAAAAAATTTTGTTTTGTTTCACTTTGGCAGGAAATTTCAGTTTAGTCTTGGTTATACTCAAAACTGTTTCTACCTTGTTTTAGTTCACGAAATTTATTTTCGTGGATGCAGCAGCAACCTTAGAAGGGCAAAGTGTAAAGTACTTGACGTTTATGTAACCATAGCTGCTACAGAGCTATACAAATCATAATCACCCTAAAGTTCATTTCTATCACTCTTTTCAGATTACTGAGCAGGTTAAACACTGTGGGTAGTTTTTCATATTTCCTTTTTATTGACGGGCTGCTCAGGTTTTATTACTTTTATTAAAGAAAATTAATATCTACTTTATTAAGAATCATAGAATCATAGAATCCTAGAATGCTTAGGGTTGGAAGGGACCTTAAAGATCATCTAGTTCCAACCTCCCTGCCATATATACTATCCAAGAATTACTCCACAATAGCAATCAAAATAAAAGTAATGTATATGCTTTTTTTGTCATGAAGCTAAGTGTTCATGGAACAGTGTTAACACTTTTTGCCTCAGATCACAGATCACACAGGACCTGCTTCTTGATCAGCATTCTCTTCAGACACCAGCTACCAACAAGCTGTGGTTGCATTCATCAGCCTTTGTCGCTGCTTCCCAGGTCGAGGACGGGTTATGCAACCGTGTTTACTGGTATTTAGGTCAACGTTTTAAAAGCGATGCCCAAACTGAGACTCCGCTGACCTGATTTTCTGACCATTCTGAACACCTGCACTTGGCACAGGATACCTTTGGAACTGCAGGTGATCAGCTCTTCTGCAGTTCAGGACAGAAATTTATTTATCTGGCCACTGAATTTTAAGACAGTTAGATTTTATTTGTTATCTTTCAATTGCCAGAAAATGATTATACTGAATTACTACGTTTCCTTTAATTTCGTACCAGTCTAATGTCAGCCTCCAAGAGATAACAAATTATCAAACCCTGGAAAAGACAGAAGACTGAATATATACATCAGATGAAGACAGATATAGCTGATTCATAGAATATATAAAGTAGTTGAATGTACATTATATATATGTATATAAAATGCACACACAGAAGACTAATTAAATGTTCATGCTTTAACATAGATGAACAGAAAAAAAAATCAAACCAGAAATAAAAAGCCTCTAAGACCCACTCTCAAAGCAAGGAACATTTTACATCTAAGATCATAGAATCATAGAATCATAGAA